ATAAATAAATAAATAAATAAATAAATAAATAAATAAATAAATAAATAAATAATAAAAAAAGAATAAGAATAAGAAAAAAATTAAAAAATTAAAAAATAAAAATAATAAAAATAATAAGAAAAAAAAAATTAATAAATAAATTAATTAAATAAACAATTTAAAAATAAAGCAAAAAAATAGATATTTTAATTATTTTTTTACTTTTTTGACTAATTTCTTTTTAGTAGAAGCAGGCAAATAAAATTGCTGTACAAAAAAACTAGATGAGATTCCCTTCAAAATGATGCATTTTCAAAAGTTTTTGGATTAATATTGACTGAGTTATAACTGGTCAAACTTAAATATTTTTTTTAGATTTTCGTCGTTTTTAACATAATAATTAATGATTATAATTCTTATTATCTTTACAACGAATTGGTTCTTTACTTAATAAAAAATTATTTCAAAAGTTTTATTTGTTAATAATAAATAAAAAAATTTTTCACAACTGTATGAAACTATGAGAGATATTTCAAATGAAATTACAGTTTATCATACTATTTCTTTTTTACTATCTCAAATAAGGAGATTTATAATAATATACATACATATATAAACGATTTAATTTAAGCTACTTATTAATTATACTCAAATATTGTTTAGAATTTAAAAACATTTATATTTGTAAAATGATTTAATTTTAAATGTATTTCATTTCTGTTTCGTTACAAGTCTACAAGGTCGACTTTTACCGTTAAAATAATAAGAATTATAATCATTATTATGTTAAAAACGACGAAAATCTAAAAAATATTTCAGTTCAGTCCAAAAACATTTGAAAACGCATAATTTTGAAGGAAATCTCATGTAGTTTTTTGTATAGCGATTTTTTTGCCTCCTTCTACTAAAAAAAAATAGTCAAATAAGTAAAAAAAATCAAAATATCTTATTTTTTGCTTTTTTAAAATTGTTTATTAACGATTTTTGCATAAAATTTTTCTTTCAATCAGAAATTCTATTCTCTACAAAATTTTTCCTATGAACTATAGCGAAATTTTGCTTCGTTTTCGAGCTACAATTAAAAAACTGAACGGGGTGCATTTTCACTCCTATCTCCAATTTGCGCCCTCTAATTTTTAAAATCCTGTAAGCAATAGCTTATAATACATAGTTCTGCTTGCATTTGCGTTCTTTTTTTTATTGTAATTTTATTGTTTTGTGCATATTTTTTTGTATTTGCCAGATAAAATTTACTCATCCTATTTCTTTCCATTGAAAGAATGAAATAAAATAAATAAATAAATACAAAAATAAATCGTGACTTCGTTAAAAAATATTGTAATGTATGTTTATATTTCTATCTCATTAACTTTAACTAAAAATTTAATTATAACATAGATAACCATTTGGCAGTTCCGTGTTTGCTTTTTATAAGTACTTTATATCATTTATCGACCCATTTGCTATTTACATCCAACCCCTCCTTTTCCACTAAATCAAAAACCTGACAAGAATCAACACAATTACATAATTAAATATTAATAGAACAACTACAACTTGTTTCTGGTATGAACTGGTTTTTGATTCACTTACTCTTCATACATTTTTAAGAAGCTGTCATATTTCATTACAATCGACACGCGATTATATTAATTCCGGTTGAACTTTTCCCTCAGAGCTTTTACTATTCTGTTTAACAATTAAAGAAATCTGTTTTGATAGTTAAGTTTTTTTAATATTTAATAGTAAATGAATTAAAAACGAGTTGAAAACTTTCTTATTCTACATTTTACGGAAAAAGGTCATTCTTGTTACAAAACCTACTTGTGTTCCAATTTTTAGCTTTTAAAACCCATTAACGCCCAAAGTGACGTATTTTTTTCATTCTTCAACGACTGCGATGACTCAAAAAAAGATCTTAAAAAATTTAAATATTACCATATCCGACGTAAATTCATCTGAAGTTTCAGAATCTGTGACCAGATTCCTCGAAAAATGCAGCTCAACATTTTTTTGGAATTTTTTTGTTGAAAATGGTGGGGTTTCCGAAAAAATTTTATACGAGTAGTACAAAAAATTGTTAAAATTATGCCAAGAATGCGCTCAAATTTTTTTACAATTTTTTGAGACGTGTTTGAGGTTCTAGCGACCAAATTACCGGATAAACAATTTTTAGGAACCTTTTTTCTTGAAAATGGTGGGGTTTTCGAAAAAATTTCGTAGAAAAAAGTTATTAAAATTATGCAAAGAATACGATCAAATTTTTTCACAATTTTTTGAGACGTTTTTACATTTTTCAAATTTTTGAAAAATCTTAAAATCATTCCAAAAATTCTGAAAAAATTTGAGTGAATTGAGACGAGTATGCTCTGAATCAAAATGTGAATTAAGAACGACACGATTTTGTTTGAATTGTAAAAAATTTTATTGTGTTAACTGTTTCTCAAAAATTCGTCAAAAATAACTACAATTACAAAAAAAGAAAATCAAATATATGAAGAAATAGATTACTATTTATCGTAATAAAAATAAAATATTATAATATAAGTACAAGAAATACAAAACAAAACAAAAATACATAAAAACTAAAAAACAAAAAAAAAATTTTAAAATTGTATAATTTTCGGGATACAATATTGAATTAGCCAGTACATTTTAAACTTAACTACACATTCAAGCTAATAGATTAGAATTTCATTTCATACTCCTGTTTTTTTCCAAATCCGATGAAGTTTGAATGAAATATTCGTAAAACAAATTTTTCACGACAATGATGGGGTTTCAGAAAAAAATTTATAGTGCAAAAAGTTCTTGAAATTAATCAGAGAATACGCCTAAATTTTTTCAGAATTTTTGGGATTTTATGAATTTTCAAAAATTTGAAAAATGTAAAAACGTCTCAAAAAATTATGAAAAAATTTGATCGTAACAACTTTTTGTTCTACGAAATTTTTTCGAAAACCCCACCATTTTTAAGAAAAAAATTCTTAAAAATTGTTTTTTCTGCTGCTTGGTCGGTATGACCACAAAAAAATTTTTTGGATGCTTGCATGAAGTTTAAGGTTGTATGCCACGATATTTTCACTCCACTTCATCTGATTTCGATACAGAAATCCAGTTTGAAAAAAAATTTTAAGTGAAAAATTCGGACTTTTTGGAAAAACCGCATATTTTGGATTATCTATTACAAGCTATATACTAGATATTGCCGGTGCAATTCAATGCTATTTGGGCAATGCTATGTAGCTCATAGAGCACATAGAAAGAAAGTTTGCAGCTCCCTCTTTCGAACAAACTTTGTTTCATACATTTTCATCAACAAACGAAACAGTAGTGGCATATTTAGTGCAGCGCTGTGAAATACGTTTTTTGCAGTTTTGCGTGAAAAACGTGAAAAAATTTGTTTACTTCGAATTACTGCCATCTCAAATCTTCTAGCAACTGGATTAAGTCCTAATAAAGCATGTATTGTATGTGTATTTCACAAATATCAATATTTTACAAAAATCAATCGACAAGGAAAAAAGTTACGAACTATTTCTGCTATGCTGTCCGCATAGCTCTTCAAACTTCATTTGTTGACAAAATTCACAGCGAAGTACATACTCATATTTGACACTTTTATACGTACAAACATTCCTAACGCGAGCTGACACGTGACAATTTCTCACGGCGCTTAATTATTTAAGTGGATAATTTTTTATCCAACTTCACCATTACGCGGCCATGCAAGCAGCTACGATGATTGTAATATTTCTCCTAATTCCGGTTTTTGCGCACGCCGCCAAAACTGATACGACAGAACTACTGTTGAACATCACCAATGCAGTGTTTAAAGACAAAAAAACAATT